AATTTCTTTCTTCAGCATTCTATATTTTTCACTGTAGAGATTTTTCACTCCGTGGTTAGATTTATTCCTAAGTATTTCTGGGTGTTGAAGTTATTGAAAATGGGAGAGTTTTCCTGATTTCTTTCTCAACAGATTTATTATTGGAGCTAGCAAAGTTATTGTATTTTAATATTGACCTTGATTTCTGTTACTTTGCTGAATTTATTTTTCAGCTCTAGAAGTCTTCTGGCGGAGTTTTTGTGGTCTTCTAGATATAGGATCATGAACACACTAGTTATTATCCCTGATGGCCTATTTTTACATTGGGACTAGAAAGCCAATTAAAGTTTATGAGTTTGCTAGACTAACAAAAAGCTATTTTGCCACCAGGTTGTTTGTTTGTTCGTTTGGGGCATGTTTGTGTGTTTATTATTGAAGATTGAACCCAGGGCCTTGCACATGCTCATCAAGCACTCTAGTATTGGAAACCATGGATAAACTGTGAGCATGTCTGAGCCATCTCTAAGCAGAGGTGAGCACCTCAGAGAACATTCAGTATTATCTTGTTGATTTGAGACAACTTCGTTGGCCTCACAAATGTCCTGCTCAAAGAGAATTCTGTGATACTGTAGAATTTATTGGCTCAGAAAGCCCTAGTTTCAAAGGCAACTCCCCAGAGGTAGAGAGAGTTACCAGTGCCCTAACTAGCCTTGTGGCACCAGCTGCCTGGAGGATGAAGAATTACTGCACAAGTGATAAGTCCCTGATCAGGACAACTTCCACACAGCTTCCACCTCTTATTTACCTTGAAGAACCACTCCTCACAATAAATTCCTTTGGTGTCTTTCACTATAAATAGAGCATTTGTGGGCTTTTTTCCCTTTGTTAAGATCAGACCCATCAGGTCTTTTCCACCCATAAAGCCCACTCTTTCAATGAATTTCTTGTCCTTTGTTTTTATTCCTTAAAACTACTTTTTCAGACTTCTACTTCCAGCAGGCCCACACCTCTAGGGTTACTAATTCACTCCCCAAGCAGGCCATGGTTCAAACTCTAGTTCTGAGTCCTTTTTACTTTTATCTTGAAAAATTATCTCATAAGTTTTGCAAGCTGGCCTTAAACTTACAGTCCTCCTGCCTCAGTCTCCCAAGTAGCTGTGACTCTCACCAGTTTTAAAGAAGTGAATACTCTAATAATTACTCTCTTGCTATACATTCATTTATTAAAATTCAAATAAAAGCTGAATGTAAGAGAAGCCAAAGGTCTCACACTCAGTATATAGAAATTTATGAAATTCACCTATTTTCAACTTGCCAATTCACCCCACCCTAGATTTATTTGGTGTTATACCAAACAGATTTATCTGTTGTCTGAAAAATCAGAGGCTATTTCCAGTGAGTAAATATATGGTCTTTTGTAATAGTTAATGAATGCAAGTCATTGTTGTAGAGGTGGTGGAGGGTTATGGCGGTTGAAGTGCTACTTACAAAGTCCTTTAAGTAGTTCTCCTATTTTAAAGCCAGACACCTCTCCAAGCATCCTCATCTCCGAGGATTAAAAAGGAAAGTCACTGTTGTCTCCAGTTCCCGGGCCAAGCAAAACAGTGAGCCTGGAAGTCTTCTTCCTAGATTCCCCTTCTGCAAGATTTGGTTTCACATTTCTCAGCTCTTTGAAGTCTGTTACATTTACATTTTGCTTCAACTTTTCAGATATTTCTGTAATTCTATCTGCAATGTTCTTTTTTCCCATTGTCTTCAAGATAATGGAATTTTGCTTCTTGGAAATACCCTCTTGTTGGAGTTTTAGAGAGACAGAAGTGGACATTTATGCAATCTACCATACTTCACAAAATAAATTAGTTCTTTCTGTATATTATTCGACCTATTTAAAGTTGTTTTATCCTATGTACATAAATTATTTACATTGTATGAACAGTTATTGATCAATTAGCTAATAAGATCTAGAGATGGGCCTCTGGGGAGGGGGAGTACAAAGATAAAAGGGAAGCCTAAAATGGATAATGATGAAAAATGAAAGATTTATAGACAATGTTTCTTCAATGACAATGATGTTATGGGTAAGGCTATATGGGCAATGACCAAACAGATTCCATTTTACCCTGAGCTTCCATATCATTAATAAGTGCTTCTCCTGTGAGGAAGCCCCACCTCTGTACCCATTAGTTAATAGTTACCGAACATAACATACTTGGCAACACAAAATAGTAATTCTTATACAATGTAAAATTGTTCTTTTTGTTTTTCATTTTTCTTGGACAATGTACCTTGACAGAGATTGCTTGTATAGACATTTGTAACCATTCTCTAACTTGTACTCATTAGAGTCATTTTGATCCACTTCCCTTCTGCTTGCTTGCTTGCTGCTATGCCAACCTGGAAAGTCCTGTGGGAGATACCAATGTACCCATTGCATTGTATAACTAACTGCCCAATCCAGCTTCTGTACATCAGTTTACTGACATAGTTGCTTGCTTACAGCTATGTCAACCCAGGTGTGGTTTTTGCCTTTAAATATCCTAAAATGCTCAGGTGTGGGCCTGTTCCTTGCAGAGACAGTTATGGTCCTGCAAGGAGCAGTCACCAGATGGCTAGCTAAATAAAGACTCTTCAATTTGGAGAAAACTGGGACTTGGTGTATTTTTCTGAGTGACCTTCCTCACAACAATGACAATGTTATTGTCACCAGTTTTAAAGAAACCAATGTTAGTATCTGCCAAATGGCATCTTCTGCAGACTCTGAGACAGAAAATAATGGACAGCATCCCCTCACTCTCATTTATTGTGCTCAAGAACAATTCCCACAAGCAAAATGCACACTTAATGGGTCAATAAACTGATATACATTAACTACCTACAATAGCAACCAAAAGGAAATCTCCAATATTTACAAAGATACCAGGTCTTCAGCAATTAAATCCAAAGATTCTTCTTTTCTGCCATCTTTCCTCTCTTATAGCCCTGGCCACCATCTCCCACTCCATTTAGTTACTCCTCCCCTTCTGTGGGAGAAATGGTGCAAAGATATAGGGGAAGTTGGGATTCCCACCAAACTACAGTGAAAGAATCTTATCCCAGTAGAATTTTTATACTCCAGATCCTGACACTTCTAATCTATCTCAGGTACTATCTTAATGATAGAAAGGAAGATTGCTGAGAAATTATGGAAAGAGATATCTCTACAGTTTTTGGTCAATGGTAATCTTTTTGGAGAACTCCCCATGCATGTATGCATATACATTCCCCAAAGAAATTTTTAAAAAATGTTCATCTTATCTTTTCAAATGTGGGACTCCCAGTCCCCCTTCACTCTTTACATTCTTTTCTTTCTTTAAAGTTTTACTATTTCTTGGGCTAAAACTTTCTTCAGAAAACATGAGATTCTCATGGACACATTAAGCATTCACATTCTCAGAGACCACAAATATTTTTCTAAACAATATTTTTTTGCAGGATCTGAGACAAGGTCAGGGGATAAAATTATATGCAAAGATGGACATATAGATTATTTCACTCACCTTGAGGTTTTATGCTTTTAAAATCACAAGTTTCAGGAGTAGTTGAAGAAGTATGGTGACAGTTTCCACTCTAACCTTTGAAGAATCTTATGTGAAGTAAATTTGCTTCATATTCTCCTTCTGTGTTCTTAGGGTTGGTTTGGAAGACTTTTATAGCAGTGCTTCATGGGTGGCTACAATAGTAGACTAGTTTCTGGTCCTTAAACCAAAGAGATGTCAGAGGCAGATGCTTAGCACCCAGGCCCCTGAGTTTGCCAGAATTTGCACTCAGCTCCACCTCAGTTTCTGACACTGTGTCACCTAGAGCACAGTAGTACACAGCCGAATCTGATTCTTGGACAGAAGTTTTCTCCAAATGGAAGGAGGTAGTTTCTCTCTTGTATGTGGCTTCAAAACCTTTCTCTATTCCCTTATCATTGGCCTTCACAGCTTTCAGTAGGGGCTGTGGACCTTCTCCAGGGTATTGAATATACCAGAAAAGAGTAGGGTAATTTGAGACTGAGTAAGTGCAGTTTATATTCAGAAAAGCCCCTTCTAAAAAGGTCACTGAGTCTCCATGGATCCAATATGGGGGGAAGAAAGAGACCTGTGTTCACCATGAGATACAACTCTTAGGTAAGTTTATGATTAAAAGCTTTTCTGACATCATAGAAGAAAGAGTCCAAATTTTAAAAAAAATATCAAGGGCATCTTGAGCTTAATTCAAGAGTTATTATTTGGTTATTCTACCATTTCATGTATCAGAATATGGTAAATATAGCCTCATAAAATAAAATATAATAATTTAGGTAGTAAGTTTACATGGCAACTTTAAAATTTAGAAACACTTAGTTATAAAACCAATGTGATTTTTTAAATAAGCATTGTTTGTACTTGGGATATCAGCAACAATTAATATATAAAAAATTCAGTTGAAATTGAAATTGTAGGAATAAATTTAGATAAATTCAATTGAAGATACAGATAAGAGACTTCAAAATAGTTGAAGAACATAAACGGTCCTTTATGAATTGATAAATTAGCCTTTTTCTGAATTAAAAAATAACTAATAAGTTGATACTTCATACGTTAATGTATTCATTAAAGTAATTCCTCATTTTGCTTTCAACAAGTTTTTTGTTTTATTCATTTTTTCACTTGTTTTAATGGAGAGTTATTGAACACAAAGAAAATGAAATAAAACAATATTTATATTGAAAAATAAATGTGTAAGAATTTCTTCAAAGTGTACTGCTAAGGAGTGATTTGCTGTAAAAGGCAATAAAATTTACTATAAACTATTTGCTGAGAGTATTATTGAATGAAACAAAGAGAGCAGAATTTCCTCAGAGTAAGTATTTTCCCTCCAACCCCAGACAGGAGCCACCACAACCCTGGCCACTTCCTGTCTGAAGTGGCATTACATGCCTTGGTCCCTATAGCAGGTGGCTGTCTCAGGCAGACCCTGGCTTTTTGTACAACTGCCTCCAACAGTTCTCTCACTGTGCTATCTATCTCTCAGTGCACAGAAATACACCGCTGAGTCCCCTAGCTGTGAGGTTGAGATGGCAAGTTGGATGGATTTGCTTGCCTTCTGCAAATTCACTGAGTAGCGACCTTCTGTGGCATTTTGCTGGCTGTAAGAGTTCTGAAGGATGAGGAAGACCATCTCCCCACTGCTGGGCTGCTTGTACCAGAGGAGACCATAACTTCCAGCACTGGTGTCATAGGAGCAGTGCAGGCTCACAGCTTCCTTCTCCTGCACCCACATGGCTGGCTGGGCCTGAGTCACCTTCTGGGCAAAACTGGATCCTGAAGGAAAAAGGACAGAATCAGAAAGTTGAGGGACAAGTTCTTGGGACAAAAAAGGTGCACTTTTACACACTGCTAACCATCCCTCCCAAAGTCTCTTTAAGGCTATCCTGTCCAACAATCTCTAGATCACAAAAAAGGCCCCTTCCCACAGGGACCATTCCTACCCAGCCACATGGACAACATGACCAGTTTCAGCAGTCTGGGCAGCACCATGTTTGCCTTCTTCCTTCAGAAGAAATTTTTCTTTGACTCCAGGGCTCTGTACTGGGTGGGCAGGCTGATAGGTTGAGGGAGGTACTACTGAGCTCCAATCTGCTGCTGCCCCAGAACAGGAAAGGAAGTCATGTCAAACTGCTGTGTGACAATCTCACCAACTCAGACTCCCTTCTTAATTTAACAACTATTGAACCTGCAGCCTAGGTGTCCATCAATCAATAAATGGGTAAAGAAAACGTGGTATATATACATATACACAATGGAGTTTTATTAATCCATAAGGAAAAATGAAATTATGTCTTTTGCAGGAACATAGGTAGAACTTGAGAGCATTATAGGAAGTGAAATAAGCCAGACTCAAAGTCAAGGGTTACATGTTTTTCTTCATATGTGGAAGCTGGAAAGGAAAAATGGAGACACAGATAAAGGGTGGGGATCTTATGAAAATCAAAGGGAGATCAATTCAAAGAAAAGGACCAGGGGTAGTAATGAGGAGAGGGATGAGGAAGGGCTAGGGAATTATATTGGTCAAATTATAATGTTATATTGTGCACATGTACAAATATGTAACAACAAGTCTCATCATTATGTACAACTATAATGCAGCAATAAAAAACATGGAAAGATATAATAAATAAACAAACAGGTGAACTACTAAAAAGAACAAGGCCATTCCCTAAAGATACTACTCAACAAAATGCCAACAATAAACCAATTCCTGTCATCCCTACTTGGTGATACAGTAGCAAAAGTTTATCCTCTTCTCAAAATAAGGTTACTCTTGTCTAGATTGGTTGAAGTATTCTCAGGTTTGTACTGGAATATCCCTTAAATCTGATACCACTTACAGTACAACTGTTCTGCTCTCAAGCACCAATATTTTTCTACCAGGTGGTCCGTCAACTATAAGGTATAATTAATTTCTCCTTATAGTATTCAGCTTCATTACACTTCTCACTCAATGGAGGGTCACAACTGTACTTCTGTCAATCAAGAAGTATCCATTTCCACAATCCATATTTTGACACTCTCATGCCAAATTTTGAGCAGGGATAATGCCAGGTAAGTTACATAATAACCACTCAAGTCTCATAAAATCTAATACCTGAGCAGAAGCAAAATTAATTCATGTCTCTGCATTTGTGACTCCCTCTTAGACATATCAAAATATGAAAAAGTAATATGATAGTTAATATGTTTTAATATACTTTAAAACTTCAAAATACTATGAAGAAAATTAAGGTATTTTAATCATTGTAACCTTTTCTTAACCTTATGTCTCTCGTGTATACCAATTAAAAAGGAAAGTCAAGTTCATGGAATATTTCATGTGTTCATATAACTCAAAAGAATTTTTTTGTGAAGACAATGTCTCAAAGTATAAGAGACACTACAGAAGCTGGGGGTAGGGGTGTGGGGAGTGGTAAACACTTATGCAGATGATCAAGCTAAATTAAACATGCCTTTCTGACGGAAGTCCTTATGCAAGGATCTCTTATACAACATAAGGAAAGATCCATGGAAAAGCTCTACATTTTCATCTTAGATCCAGAAAATATGGGCCCATGTTTGTAAAGTAATACTACAAAAGACTGATGTTTTATGGATGGAGACAAGATATACCAAAGCCAGAAAGACCTCCTAGAGGAGTTAACTGTTTGCCAGTGACTGCTTGCTTAAGTCCCCAGAACAACACATCACAGTAGGTACAT